TATACCAAAATATAGTATAACAAAAGAAGAGGTCATATCCATACATATCAACTATTTAATACCTCTTTCCTTAAGGTATATATATGTTTTGACAATGATAAACAAACAATAAAAAGTAAAAATGAGGGTTTTGTATTCACATAACTAAATGTAAAGCATGTAATGAAAATTTGGGTTATAAATGAGATTCGAAAATTTTTGGTTTTCTATCCATCTATAATGCAAGTTAATTATGAATTGATGCACAAATAATTTGCCAATCTAAGTTGGTACTAATCATCTTCAACACACGTCGTTTGGTCTTCACCAACAGTGTCACAAAGGGATGATATTCCTCCAAATCCTCACCTTGGATAGAGTATAAAGTTCGACTATGACATGGTCATGTCTCCAACTTGTAGTTGACTTGTAGTCATACCAATGGTATACCTTACAAGGAGGACGCAATCGGAGATCATAAAGATTTTTCTATGTTTACTGAAGTATCTGAGTGCGAGATCTCAAATCTTAATTTTGCAAACTCGAGCAATTTCACAAATTATTTTGTTGAACAAGGACGTATTAAACATTTAACTTTTAAGAAAAAGTTTTCTTCAGCAGTAAAAACTTCTACCTTTAGCCAAAACAAAAAGTTTCAAATCCAAAAACTATTTCAAGTGACATTTAACAATTAAAAAAAAAATAAACTCTTTTATGCAAAACCGGTCCGGTCCTAATGCTAACCCATATACCGGCCTCTGTTTTGTCCGAACCAAATTTGCAAATTTTGAGTTGCCACGTTTATTACAAACTATTCAATGAATATATTTAGCATAAAAGTAATCATAATGAATTGTAACTTAACATAAATAGTGATGGTATATATGTGTATAATCATAATTAATTATCTCATTGAAAAAAAAAAACAAGTTGAAATTAACTTGCGTCATACATAACAAACATTCATTTTGTAATCTATAATAATAGTAACAAAAGCACTGACAGTTGTGATTGTGAATCTAACCTAATGTTATTTAATTATACCGACATTCATCATGCATGCCCTTCACAATACAAACTCACTCAGCTTTCACCCATTCCACCATAACTTTACTTAGCAGGAGGAGCAGAACCACCAGTAGTAGGCCTAAAAATTATATAGAAAAACACAAATCGTGTTTGTTTATTAATGCAAATTAATAAAATTCAATAATTAAATAGAAATATAAAAAGAAGAAAAAACTCACAGGCCAACAAAGACTTTGAAAGCATCATAAATACCCCACTGTGCTCCCGTGAGAGTTCCAATCATAAAAATACGAAGAGGAAGTCCACGTGTGAATAGACCCACCATCCCAAGCTTCTTCACAGCCTGTTCATATTTGATACTTAAATGGTTTTCTGAAGATCATTTGTCCATAAAACATTAAATGGAAAATAAGAGGGATGAAATTGAAGATATATGGAAAGTGGAAAAACTTACATCACCAGCAGTAGCACCTGGAGCATTGTTGAGGAAGGAGACCAAATTATCAGCAGGGTGAGAGACAATGGCACAGAAAACACCAGCCACATAACCACCAGCAAAGCTCACTCCAAGCTGCAACCTTTTGCTGCATTGATCCTTTGGCATGGGAATAGCATACATGTACAACATCTCCACAATTTTCTCAAAAGATGCAAACTTCATCATTGTATCTGTAAAAAGTAAAACCATATATTTATATATATCTTCACTTCCACTTTTCTCTAAAGACAAAGATGTCAACTTACATGGAATTTGTCGTCCCCAAAGAGGAGCTAATCCCTTATAAAGCCTGTTAATTAAGAGAATAAATGAAGTATTATCATTAGTGGGTGCTAGATTATGTACTTTTATAGATGGAAATGAGAGATTTCATCATCATACCCAGAGACACCATCAGCTTTGATAAACTTTGGAAGGCCATCTGAGATACCTTTGGCATATCCAGGTTTTGTTTGGACACGAACTTTAACTGCCTCGAAAGGGCAAAGAGCAATATCAGCAATGAATTCAGCAGATGCAGAGCCAGCAAGGAAGATCAATGTTTTGTATTTGGTTGCAAACTCAGGGCCAGCCATGTCAGAGTAGGTTTTCTTGAAGAATTCATAAAATCCAAACTTGCAAGCACCCTGTGCACTGTAACCAAACAAGGTTGGAGCCCAACCCCTAAAGAATCCTTTCGCTCCCTGCTCTTTCAGCAATACTCCAAAACCAGAAGCAATTCCCGTGTACTTTGTAGGGTTTATCTGAGAAATTGGATATAATTTGGAAGATTACTTAAGATTAGAGTGAATAAACAAGTAAGCTCTGTTGAATCATGAGTCACTTCTCCAATATATGTGTTTCATCAATCAATCATGTAGAAGAAATCAAATGTAGCTGTAGAGCAATTTACCCCTTTATCTTAGTTGATTACTTTTCTGTTGAGCAATGCTTACAATTTACATACATGTATGTACATTGAATTGCTTCAATGTAACATAAGAAAGACGAAAACTATGCATATCAACACCAGAACCTATAGTTATGTCTTTTAATTTCATTGTTCATCATCATTATCATGTAATTTTGTTAAAATTAGCTGAACATTAATCAAGTATTGTAAACAGCATCATTCAAAAAACGTAATCTTAGTTCATATGGATAGAGGCATAGTCAAATTACACAGAACCTATACATCTCACAAGTGATTAACTAAAACATGAATAGGATTGTTTCGATTAATGTCGTCATTATCGTACCCTAGAGATATGGAAAAGAAGATAAAATAAAATGCACGAACGACTTGGAAACAGTTCATGCATAATGTAGCTTATCGATCTGAGCCTCAAAATCAGTAAAAATGTGAAAAATCATTTATAGAGAGATCAAGGAGATCGACCTGCATATTACATTTGACGAGATCCAGCGGAGTGACGGCCATGTGAGTGAGACCGCAACTGAAAATACCACCAGCTGTACATGCTCCGTAATAAGCCGGAGAAAACATCGCGATCTTACGCTGCTCGCTAGGAGCGGGTATCACGAAACCTCTTTTCTGCGTCGACGATGAAACCAACGGCGTACACCTCGAAGACGAAAAAGAGTTCCGTTGATTAGCCGTCAAATTTTGCTCAAAATCAATGAATCTTGTAGGAGAGTAGAGAAAGCTGGGGATCAAAGGTTGCCTTGAGTTATCCATGAATTCCATCGTGGTTGTGCGTGAAATGCTTCTTCGAGATCGAGATCAGAGGTAAGGTTCGAATTCACAGAGAGCTAACGTGAGGGTTTCGTATGAGAAAGATGAAGATGGCATTAATTGCGGAAGATGAAGGGTGAAGGCGATTCGGAAATGCATGCGCATTTGAAGGCTATTAGCTTGTTGCTCCGCCCACTATTTTTTTCACCAAAATTATGGTGTAGGGTAGTTATTTTTTTGATTTGGCATCTCACGATTCACGACTGTAAAATCAATAATATTTTATAAAGTAAATAATAAAAACTGTTAGGTATATAGAAGTAGAAATTATGGATCTCATATATATTCTCAGTAATGACAATTTAATTACATACATAGAAAGGCTTCTTAAACGGTTAGGAAAGTCTAATTTCAACAATTTATTTTATGTAAAAAGAACAATTTTATCTTTAGAGAATTAAGAAAATTCCAGCAATTTGCAGGGCCCGTTCAAAATATGGGGTTGTGAAATGATCAAAATGAACTCGTTTTGCATTTTGCAGTGGACCTGTTCAAAACGAGAGGAGGTCAAACGACTTTGTTTTTCTAGTCTTACCTAAAAAGACTATTATGCCTTTATTAATTCATTTTTTAATTAATTTTATTATTTATGTATCTATTTTAATTTGTTGTTGTATATTTATGATTAATCTAATACTCATTCTTTCATCCGGTTCATGTTTGTCGGAGTATGCCACTGGAGTAAACTAACACCATTTATATCACCACCGGATTAAACCCACCCACCACCACTAAGGTATTGTTTGTTTTTTCGGAGACAAAATGTATGCAGTCTGCGGACCACATCTGCAAACCTCTGCAGTAGAAGAGGTGGACTAAATGTCTGTAGTCTGCAAGATTAAGATTGTTTGTTTTTAACGTCTACATGTTGTTAAAATAAACTGAGATTTAGATATACCTTTTTTTAACATAAAAAATATTACAACAAACTAAATTTATCATCAATTATAACTTAAGCAACTAAATAAAGCAAACAACTAATTCACAAATATAATTAGGGAACCGATAAAAAACTTGATAAAAACGCAACAAACCAAAAATAATAAACTGAAACCGATACAAAATTCGACGATGTGATGATTCGAAGGGATAAAATTATGTTGGGATTCAATAATCAAAAAATTAAATAATCTTAGTTATTAGCGTGGTATAAATTATGATAACTGAAAAATAAAACTTAATTAAGATTTTTGATATTATATATATGAACTAATTAATCGATTATATTGTTTCTATCCTAAATAACATAAAAAAAAGTTACCAAATTTACCTACTAAATGTAAACATGCACAAAAATAAAAATATCTACAAAACTATGTCAAAGTTATTTGGATAAATATATTATCTTAATAAAAAAACATGAACATAATCATATACATAAACATTTGGGTTAATACATAATTATGATATAAAAAACAATAAAGAAAGAAACTAATAATTACATAAAAAAGGAGGACAAAAGTATAAAAAATGAAAAATGACACTAACAATTACAAAAAAAATAATTATTTTATAAAAGTTAAATATACATTGTGGAAGAGGTAAGACAAGGCTAGAAGATGTTAGAAGACATATGTCCATATCTGCGCCAAGAAGATGACACGCGGACCTTTTTATGTCTGCGGTCTTCTAGAAAACAAACAGTCTGCAAGACCAAACGTCTGCGCGACGCAGACATAAGAGGTCAAGAATAGCTTTTGTAGAAAAACAAACACCATCTAAAATAACCAACAACCAACAATCATCACCTCCTCTTCCTTCCCTGCTAAAACAAGCGTCGTCTACCACAACCATGGTCAAATTCTTGAAAACAAATCTAGAATCAAGAACAAACTTGATGAATCAAAACGAATACAAACCGGATAATCAAAATCAAAACATGTAATCAACACCAAATTAAACCAAAATAAAAAACAACCATGAAACCTATTTTCCAGAAAATCATGATAGTAGATCCGATGAAATAAGGGGAAGGGAGAAGTTAGAACCATAGGAAGGGATAAGAGGGAACTAGATCGGAGTTTCCTCCAGAAATAAATTCGAACGTTATGAGGTCGTCGATAAGGATGGAAGTGGAGAAATCGATGATAAGGAATTTTGTAGGACCCGATAAACCATCGGACCTCCGTTTTCCCTTCCGATATCAAGATACATAAAAGAAGACATCAAGATATCAGCCTACCCTTCCTCATCCTCATTCAAGTGCAGCGAATGATTCCTAGACCACCTAAAGTTGCCATCATGAAATCAAAACCCTAGATTGTAGCAAAGATCAAAACCCTCTTTCGATAAAAACCTTAGATGCACCTTGAAATTACAAATGAGTTGTAAGAATAAAAAAGAGAAGATGGCATGGAAGGAGAACCTTCAATTGTTGATCGTCGGAGGAAGAATGTGATGGGGAAGATGGTGAGGTTGGATGTAGGGGAAACAAGATGGTGAAGTATATGTTGGAAGACGATGGTGAGAGGTCGTCGACAGAGGAAAACCTGGGCAACTATGGTGATTTCTGGCGGTGTGGTGGTTTCCGACACTAAGGTGGTTTCTGGTGGCTATAATCTTCCATGCCACTCCAATGATTTAGGGTTGATTTAGAAGATAGAGAGATACCAGGGTTTAGAAGGGGAAAGGAGGGTGTGGGTCCCATGATATTTTCTAATAATTTAAATAATAAATAAAACAAAACAAGAAAGTGTATATCGGTCATTTTAGTTCAGTCAGGGACCAAACGTGCAACAAAAACAAACAGTAGGGATCTTCTAAGTTAAAAAAATAAGTTAGAGACCAAACGCGTAAATTACCCCAATCTATAGGGACCATTCGTGTAATTTACTCTTTCATAAATGAAGGAAAACCCTATGTGAAATGGTCAAAATCATGTGTTTTGACAATTTTTAGATTTTTTTTCCTTGAAAACCTTTATACATGTAAACTAACATAAAATATGACATTTCCCAGTCTTTGTGAGAGTTCTTCCTCTCTTTTTTAGAGTGTGAAGGGTCGAAACTCACTTCTTTTTTGCTTCCGTCTTTCTTGCTTAATTTCTTCTCATTTCTCTTGTCTCTTATCTTTGTCTCATCTGAATCTTTCATCTGACTGTTTTTTATAGAGGCCAAGTCCCATCGTTTCTCTTTCTGGGTCTTTTGCTCATTTTTTTCCATTTATCGCCGTCTCATGGCTTTGAAACTTTTGAAGGCTTCGAACTCCTCCATTTCCAATTGTTTTGCCTCTAAGTGTTTTTGAATTATTTATCCTCCTTCTTCCTCTGGTCCTTCCGGCGTCACATTCTTATTTTTTTTAATCACCGTTGTAATCTGTAGTGTTTCTTCAGGTCTTCGAAGTTTCGCATTCTCGTAATAGGACTCGCATCGAGTTGTCGCGGAGTCCCACTGATGGCGCCACTTGTTGCGTCCCTAGGTTCACCTTCCATCAGTTGTGAGAGTTTACGATTCCTTTACAGTTTAGTCAACCTGGAGACAACAAACAACTCGTAAGTTAATTGGCTGGGAAGGGATCCCGGACCAATGCTTCGATGATAAAGTCATAGATGACCTTAAGAAAGTATGTCGAAAGTCGAATAGAGCTCAATGGAATGTGTATATATTTGTGTACCTTGTAAAGTGGTTTTGGTTTTCTATTTATATTAAATATTTGGAGGTAACGACTTCTTCCTTGACCGAGCAGGGCCAAAGTCTTGTCGCATTAATGATCATACACCCGAAGGTACACTCTTGTGTACCTGCCAGTTGCGGAGCTATGTTATGGCCAGGGGGCATGCCCCCCCTGCTTTTTTGTCCTGTGCATTACATATATCATGTACACCGGATTGTTTTTGTAACATTCCGTTTTAAAATTTAATAAATAAATAATAATTATAATAATAATAAAATAAATAAATAAATAAATAATAATCCATAAAACCTCGAGATGTATTTTATATTTTATTTTTAGCCTTAAATTCGTAATAATTTATCAGCGTTAGCCTCAGGAGTTAAAAGTTATATTTTTCTGGATGTTGAGGGTTAAATGGTAACATATGGACTTGTATTAAATAGTTTCTATGGAAGCAGGGGCTAAAGAGTAAAATATGGATTTAATTCGAAAATAAAGGGGATAGAGGGACTGAAAGTGTTAAAAATGCAATAAGTTTGATATGTGGAGGCGGGACTAAGACCCGTCACCTCCCATCCCTTGTCTCGTTTAAAAACGCAGCTTAACAAACCCTAACCCTAAATAACCTTTAGCCGCCACCCTTATAACTCCCATCTCCAGCCGTCGTCGTTCCCTTTCGCCGGACCACCGCCGCTGTTGTTCGTTGTCGGCAAAGACGAGGGCTACCAGGGGAAGTTGCCTAGACCGAAGAGGGAGGATGTGAACGATCGGGAGTGCGAGTGTTGCATCCGTTCTTTGTAAGACGACCACGACTCACCCTCATTTGCTTCTTTTTTGTTAAGCTTCCATCTACCCGACGAATACCGCTACTGTCGCCGCTCGTGCGAACCTCCAGTTGCTCCGGTCGTCGTACCACCCCCGAAGAGGGATGTTGTAGATGTGTT